AGGTCCTTCCTCCAGCAGGTCCTTCCTCCAGCAGGTCCTTCCTCCAGCAGGTCCTTCCTCCAGCAGGTCCTTCCTCCAGCAGGTCCTTCCTCCAGTAGGTCCTTCCTCCAGCAGGTCCTTCCTCCAGCAGCTGTTAGACTCTACAACCATCACTGCTCCAACAAACTCTACAAGGATTAAATACATGCTGACCTCTGCTCAAACACTCACTCTGCCTGTAACACTGTGCTGTCAGTACTCTGTCCTTATCAATGCTCCAACACATATTGAACATTATTATTGATATTGTTTATCTTGTTTCTTTATATATTGTATTGTTTTTAACATTTAGGAACTTTTGTGTGAATCTTTTCATCTGTTGCTGCTGTTACACTGGAATTTCCCATCCGTGGGACAATAAAGGCTGTTTCTATTCTATTCTATTCTAAACACGCAAAGATTCAGATATTTGTGGTTCGCAGGTAACTACTAAAACGGTGGCGCAGTGTGTGGAGTTTTACTACACGTACAAGAAACACGTGAAGGTCGGCCGCAGCGGGTCGCTGCTTTTTGGCGAGGCGGAGCCGTTTGAGAGCAGGACGACCGAAGAAGAGCTGGACCACAAGGTGAGTCACGCGACAGCTTCAGGACGGAGTGTCCACGTGGAAGGACGGAGTGTCCACGTGGACAGCTGACGCTGAAGCCCAACTGCACTAAACTGTGAATGGACGTGAGTATTGGTCCGAGGCCACGCTTTAATGATGTTTGCTGTGCAGGGCTCTCAACGACTGCAGCCACAGCACGAGGATGACAGCAGGAAGTGGGAGGGGTCAGCTGACAGGAAACAGGAAGTGTGTCCCGTCAGGGTGACGCACACGCTGCCATCCACTGACAATGTGAGTGAAATGATGAAGAAATGAATGTGGAAGATTTAGAAGAATGAAGAGCTCAGACGTGTAAACGTGAAGAAACAGATGTTAAAGATCGGGATCTGTTTAGTTCAACGTGACCCTTTTTGATCCACTTTGATCTACATGAAACAACAACCAAGCTGTTGTGTTTCCCTCCATGTTGCCAGAAATCAAACCCATTTTATTTAGGTTTTTGTGCCAAGTTCAACCAAGACGTGATAAGAGACGAACTGTTTGGTTCTCGATCGATCGTTGTGATCAGTAAATGTGTTGTTTATCAAAAATGTTCGCTTCAGAACCAGCAAACTTTAAGTTTAGTTCTTTCCTCGTTTGATTCAATCCAGTTTTCTGCCAACAACATGTATAAAAAAGTGTTTTCTAAAGAATGCTGCAGCTCGGACCCATTGAAAACTGATGAAACTGTAAATAAACTGGAGTTCATGAAACGTGCAGACGGAACCTTCTAAAGCAGATTTGATTGATTGATCTGTACATTTAGCAACAAAATGCCTCCTGCTTTAAAACCTCAGGGATTCCACACTCGTTGGATCCACTTGTTGCTGCCCCCCCCGCCCCCCATGGGCTTTCACGAAACAACCTGTTGAGTGTGGAGTGAGTGCCGACTCAGCAGGAAAGTTTGTTCTCACTTTCTGTTGGTTCAAGAGGCTGCAGAAGCGTTTTCTCTCCTGAGTGCACGTGTTCAAGTCTGTTCTGTTGTTGCAGCCCGGGACCGTACTGATCATGAAGGCCCAGGAGGACGTTGGCAGGGAGCAGCTGTTGTCCGGGCTCATTCACCACGCTCAGCCGCCTCCTCCCAGCTCCAAGCCGCGCTTCGATGGCAGCGCACGCAGGACGAGCCCCTCGGCGGGCAGCAAAGGCTCCGCCGGCCAGGAGGGGGAGTTCCCCTGCAAGAAATGTGGCAGGTCAGTGATCATCCATCACAGCCGTGGCTGCTGTGTAGGCTTTCATGTTGCAGGACATTTCCCTCTGGAATAGTTCAATCCAAGTGTCTCCTGGTGGACGTGTGAAGGAACAACTGTCCTGTCGGCCTGTGGTTGTTCAGCAGCGTGTCCTGAAGCACGTGAGACACGTCCCACAAGTCTACTGGGAATGATTCACTCTACACACATCAGTCTAACAAATGTGGAGCAAAATGTAAATACAAACAGAAGGAATGTACATGCTGTGTTCACAATCAAACACGGGGAAACATGTCAAACGTTTAGGAAATGATATAACTTTAGAAAAAAGTTCTGAATTTGATGGCAGCAACAGGTCGCAGAAAAAGTTGGGACAGACGTCTTTGAGTATACTCAGTACGCAAGAATCTGGACAAATAAAATGTATTATTATTATTATTACTGTATTGTTATTATTATTATTACATTATTATTATTATTACTGTATGTTATTATTATTATTACAGTATTATTATTATTATTACTGTATTGTTATTATTATTATTACAGTATTATTATTACTGTATTATTATTATTATTATTATTACTGTATTATTATTATTATTATTATTACTGTATGTTATTATTATTATTACAGTATTATTATTATTATTACTGTATTGTTATTATTATTATTACTGTATTGTTATTATTATTACAGTATTGTTATTATCATCATTATTATTATTACCGTATTATTATTATTATTATTATTGTATTAGTATTGTTATTACGTTATTTTTATAATATTATTGTTATTATTATTACCACATTATTATTATTATTAT